GAGCAGCGGGCGGGTCAGGAGAGGTCTGCCACACCATGTGGTCACCTCCGGGGCAGGCGGGGATCGAACTCATGCGGAAGTGGCTTTGACTTCTTAGTGCTGTGCTTTAACCCGCTGCGCCACCAGGGAGGGCCGAGAATACTTTTTTTAAAAAAGATTTCCTTCTGCGTACAGGAGCTGGGGTGTAGGCCAGAGGTGTGGTGGGTGAGAGGGTTCATCAGAGACAAAGTAGGGAACAAAACTGGCAGATTGACTGAAATACACTGCTTAGAGAAGCAGGGGGGCGAGACAGGAGAGGTCTGCTATGCCATGTGGGTCAGCTTCCTGGCCAGGGATTGAACTTGTACTGCAGTGGCTGTGGATACCTTCAGAGTGCTACACTTTAACTCCTTGTGCTACCAGGGAGCCCTAAAAGAGAATAATTTTTTCATGATTGGTACATTTAATCAAGGAGGGGAAGTTCTCTGTTATAATATAGAGCAGAGAGTAAGTCTTTGATGTGAAACAACTTTTTTATCTACATGATCCTGAACTTATTTGTGAATTATGTATCATTTAATCTGTAAATTTCCTTTATGGTTTGAATAGGTTCTTCCTCAGGGAATGGGAAAGTTGGAACAACATCAACAAAATACTATGATGATATATATTTTGATTCTGATTCTGAGGATGAAGATAAAACCAGTGAGTAACATGTTTTCTAGGCTTAGCTGTTTGTTTTATGTTAAGAAGAGAGTTTACCTTAGTTGGCATTAGGATTTCCATGTGAGTCTTACCTTTAAGAAATTGCAGATCATTGATGTGACAACAAGAACAGAACCGATGAGTCAAAGTACACTGTCGAGGACCTGGGCCTAACTGTGGTGCTACATAGGCACAGCTGAGGTGAGGGAGGGTCTGTCCTAACTGAATTCCTTCTTAGGGCTACTGCCTCCCTCTTCTTTCAGGTTCCTTAAAGCAGCATTTGTTTTCACACCTTCAAATATTTTCACCTTATTGCATAATTTTTCTTCACTTCTTGCTTTCATTATTTATTTTTTTATATCAGTTTGTGTTTTCTCTGGAATTAGTTTTGTATAAAATTTGAGCAAAGTTAAACATGATAAGAGCTGAAGCTAATTTAATTATGTCAGTTACCCTGGGATTAAAGAAAAATTTTATGTGATAAAGTTTGTATTTTTTAAATATGTTATTATCTAAATGTAGATCTGCTTAAGTACATTTAAGAAGGCTAGTATATGGAATGGTCATAGTTTTATTTTTTATTATAATAGTTTATTTTTACATCATTTTGTGCCTTTTTCCATCTCAGTTGTAATCCATGGGCTTCCCATCACCAATTCACCCATGTGCCATCATCATAGTCCAGTGCACTCTCCCCACCCCCATTTTTGATCCCATTCCCCATTCTACTCCCCTAAAATGTCTCTGGTATGTGGTTGTTCATTATTACTATTTATCCCTCCCCCTTGGTCCTTTATGCTCCTGCTATGAGTGAAACCATCTGGTATTTTTCTTTTTCTTTCTGGCTTATTTCACTAAGCATGATCCCTTCCAGCTCCATCCATGTTGCTG